AAGTACACCTGGGCCCCGCCCCTCTTGAGCCACGTGACCTCTCCCAGCTCAGCCCATTGGCTGACAGCTATTTTCCCCTCCCCCCTCCGCCCCTTTCCACCGGCCGCGGGAAATCAAACGGGCTGGTTGCGCCCCCAACCGCCACCTGGCCTCTGCGCGAAAGGCGGGGCCGGGGGCGCGGCTCCGAAGGTTGCCCCTGACGACCTAGGTGGAGCGCGGCAGTCAGCAGCCTTAGGTCTGGCGGTGAGAGGCACTGCTAGCCCTCAACCTCTAGACCGACCTAGCCCAGACCCTGGCAGGCGTAGACGCCTTCTCCCGGACACCACCGTTGATTCATTCTCCTTAGAGGATGTCCCGGCACATGGGGCGACTGTATCTGCTCGCAGGGCAGGCTGGAAAGCACCGCAAAACGATTTAACCAACTCAACAGTTGTTTTCATAAGCCTGGGCCCCTCGTTTTTATGTTGTTTTTGAGACAAAGGGTACATGTAGCACACAAAGCAGTTTTGCTGAGTTTTGATATGTCTATCCATGTAGGCAACACCCTAACCAAGATATGTTTTCCTTGCCCCAGGAAGTTCCCTGGAGCCTCTTCCAGGTAATTCCAGCATCTTCACCGGTCACAATTCTAATGTCTCCCACCGTATGTCTCTCACGTCTATGTACGGGGTGCTGAAGTGTCTGGTTTTGGCACATGCAGTTTCCTCTGCTTCGAATGCGCTCCCTCACCCCGTGTCTCTTAGGGTGGCCCTCTTCAAATATCAGCGTACGTATCACGCCTCACTATCACATTATACATTATTTTTAATGCACTTTTGAAAATATGAAATGATCCTATTTGCTTATTAATTCTACTCCAACCCTACGCACATACGCTAGTGCACAATGCTCAATATTTATTGAATAAATAAATGATCCCCAATTCACAAATGAGTAGACAGATGACTGGTGCGCAGCTGTCTCAGGTTTCTTGGAAGCCCGAGAAGTCCGTCCTAGGAGCAGCAATCTCCCTCCCTAAATAATGAGGCTCTAGAAGTCGCTCCTCCTGAACGCCCACCCGGAAGGACGCGAGTCTCGCTGGGCAGGGCGTATTTTTGCTTAGGGCAGCGGGTCCCAGAGCAAGACACATGCCTCCACGCGCAGCTCGTTCTGCCCCAAGTCTGCTTCCCCAGCGCTAGGCGTATTGGCTAGGGCCCGCGTCCCGCCGCCGCCGCAACCACAGCCTCTCCCGATCCCGGCGCGCCCTCTGCCGGCCGGTCTTGAAGGCTGCCAAATAGCGCTTCTTTGGCGGTCCACCAGCTACTAGCCTACCTGATTGATGCACACCACCCATCCCGCTAGATGATTCGATTTCCAGGGCATTGGGCACAGTGGACAGAAAAAGAGAAAAGATAAGCAAGGCGAGGCGGTGAAGGATACAGAAATGACCACCCCTTCCTCAAACATGTTAAGAACCAGTTTATCTGTGGTAAGCCCTGAGCTTAAGGGAAGCGGAGACCAAGACTGGGGAAAGCAAGCAAGGTACCTCACGGGGTGACCTCTGCAGCAAAGAATCACATGGGAAATACACGGAGTTCATTTGAAAGATAAGATGAAAGGAAGCTCAGATAAAGGGAGTGTGTGTGTCTTTACTTTCGTAGTGAAATTAAGAAAAAGTCAGGAAAGCAGAGAACATGGGGTATTGCAGGGAAAAGTACCCTTGGCAGACAAACTCGAATACAACATCATACTGAATAGAGGAAAAACTGAAAGCTTTTCCTCTAAAACCAGAAACAAGGCAAGGTTGTCCACTCTCACCAGTTCTATTCAATGTAGTTCTTGAAACTAGCCAGAGCAATCAGTCACAATGAGAAGGAAAATAAAGGGATACAAATAGGAAAAGAAGAAGTCAAACTATCACTTTTTGTTGATGATAAGATCCTTTATCTAGAAGACCCCCAAAATCCGACCAGAAGACTCCTAGAGCCAATAAATGAATTTAGCAAAGTCAAAGGATACAAGATCAACAATCATAGATCAATAACTTTTCTACACTCCAACAGCAATTCAGCTGAGAAGAAATCAGGGAAATTATCCCTTTCGCAATATTCTCAAAAAAGCTGGGGGGTGGTTAATCTAACCAAGGAAGTGAAAGATCTCTGCAATGAAAACTATTGGACACTGAAAAAAGAAATTGAAGAAGATCCCAGAAGATGGAAAGACCTCTCTTGTTCTTGGATAGGCAGAATTAATATTGTCAAAATGGCCGCACTACCAAAAACAATATACAGATTCAATGCAATCCCTAACAAAATACCAATGGCTTAAATGCATTTGGAAGAATAGCCAAAGCCATTGGGAATAAGAAAAGTGATGGAGGAGACATCACAATATCCAATCTCAAATTATGCTGTAGAGCTACAGTAGCAAAAACAACATGGTATTGGCATCAAAATAGACGCAAAAACCAATAGAATAGAATAGCAGACACAGAAGCAAATTCACATACTTACAGAGAACCATTTGTTAAAAAGGCTTTCAACTCTTCAACATACATTTTTGGCACCTTTTAAACAAATGGTTCTGGGGCCCGGCATGGTAGCACACACCTATAATCCCAGTTACTAGAAAGGCTGAGGCAGGAGGAGCAAAAGTTTGAAGGCAGCCTCAGAAACTTAGGGAGAAAAAAATGAAAAGGGCTAAGGATATAACTCAGTGGTAGAGCACCCCTGGGTTCAATCTCCAGTACCAAAACAAAACAAAAGCAAATGGTGCTGGAGAAACTGGATATCTACATGTAGAAAAATTAAATTAGATCCCTTTCACCTCCACAAAAGTCAATTAAAAAATGGATCAAAGACTTAGGAATTAGACTAGAAACGTTGCAATTGCTAGAAGAAAACATATGGTCAAAGCTCAAGAAATAAAACCAAGAATCAATAAGTGGGATGCCATCAAGTTTAGAAGCTTTTGCATGGCAAAGAAAATGAGAGTGAAGAGAGAGCATACAGAATAGGAAAAAAATCTTTGTCAGCTATTCCTCTGACAAGGGATTAATATCCAGAATATATAAAGAACTCAAAAAAACTCAATGCCAAAAAAACCCCAAATAACTCAATTATAAATGGACAAAAGAACAGAAATTTATCAAAAGAAGAAACACAAAAGACCAACAAATATATGAAAAAATGTTCAACATCTCTAAGAATCAGGGAAATTCAGATCAAAAGATTTCATCTCACTCCAGTCAGAATACCAATGATCAAGAATACAAATAATAAATGCTGGTGAGGATATTAGGGAGAAGGTACAGCCATACACTGTTGTTGGGACTGCAAATTAGTATAACCACTTTGGAAAACAGTGTGGAGATTCCTTCAAAAACTAGTGATGGAATCCTCATATGATCCAGCAATCTCACTCCTCAGTACTTATGCAAAAGAATTAAAATCAGAATATTATAGTAATACAGCTACTACAATGTTTCTATCAGCGCAATTCACAACAGCCAAATCATGGAATCAATCCAAATGCTCATCAGTAGATGAATGGATCAAGAAAATGTGGTAGATATACACAATGGAGTTTTACTCAGTCATAAAGAAGAACGAAACTATGGCACTTGCCAGTAAATGATGAATATGGAAAAAATCAGACTAAGTGAAATAAGCCAGACCCAGAAAATCAAGGGTGGAAAGTTTTCTCTTATATGTGATAGCTAAAAGCACAGTAAGGGAAAGAAGGTAGTGGGGAATGGGATTAGATATAATAAAGATACAGTGAAGGAGAATGAGAGGGAGGAAGGAAGAATGGGAAAGAGAAAGAAATATGGGCTGAATCTAATGGAATCATGCTATATACATATATAAATATACCAAAGCTTATATCTCCTTCATGTAAATGTAGAAAGTACCAATAAAAAAATGAATAAATAAAGGAGTAAAGGGAAGATAAGTAGAAAGGGCAGAAAAAGGGCAGAGAGGAGGAAAGAAAAGGGGGAAGGGAAATGGGGGTTGAAATTAAATTCCTTGTATGTATAATTTTGTCAAAAGGGATCCAAATACTATGTATAATTATAATGCTCTTAAAAAAAGAACTATAATGCTGACTCTGTGAAAACAGTAATCTGAATAGATGCAACATAGCAATGTTTAATTCAGATTATTTTAATCATTTTTGGGGGGGTACTAGGGATTGAACTCAGGGGCACTTGACCACTGAGCCACCTCTTCAGCCCTATTTTGTATTTCATTTAGAGACAGGGTCTCCCTGAGTTGCTTAGCGCCTCTCCGTTGCTGAGGCTGGCTTTGAACTTGCAATCCTCCTGTGTCAGCCTCCCAAGCCACTAGGATTACAGGCGTGCACCACCACTCCTGGCTTAATAATTTTTTTTTATAATAAAACAACTGTGCATCAAGAAAAAAAATACTCTTGGCAGATGAACACCACCTATTCATGGAACAGTGTAACATACACTCTATCCCCAAGGAGAAGGACTAGCAGATGGCCACCAAGAGATGCAGTGAATTGCCTTGTTCCGTTAAAGGATTTGTGCGTGTCATTTTTTTGTTTTTCAGAAATATTTGTGTACCCTTTTTTTCTTGTTTTCGTAATTCTTAGGTTCAGTTAATTTTTTTTAAATTAATCAATTAATTTATTTTGTGGTGCTGTGGATTGAACCCAGGGTCTCACTTGTGCTAGGCAAGCCCTCTGTCACTAGCTTCATTCCTAGTCTTGAATTATTTAAATATTTTTAAGTTCTATAGATAACAGAGTCTCCTCCTTTTCCTATCACTCTTTTCATTTGCTCCTGCTCACCTTTTGCCCTGTATATCCACATTATTTTAACACCAAACTTCCTGAAAAGCATTTTGCTGTCACCTCTCATTCTCCACCATCCTTCTACAGTCCACCAAACCAAATTTACTTTTTGCCTCCTAAAATATAGAATCATGCTATATACATATATAAATATACCAAAGCTTATATCTCCTTCATGTATATGTAGAAAGTACCAATTAAAAATGAATAAATA